TATATTTTATCTTTGATTAATTTTTGTAAATTTAAGAGGGTTTAACGATTGCCATTTTGGCCAGTTTGGAACAATTACGCGCGATTGATTTCGCACTGTTAACACGTAAGCGGAGATTGAACCCGTCATAGAAAACGTTCCAAATTGGTTGACGAAATCGTGTTTGCCATAATTGATTTCTATCAAAATCTATCACTTTGCGAAATCTATCACTTTTAATTTTATATGGCGTGTGGAAGGATGATTTTCACAAATCTTTTTTAGTTTTAATTTTTTTTTTAAATTTTTTTTATTACTAGCTAGAAAAGATCTCTGTTGACACATCGACCTACCGTTGACCAGATGTTTCTGCTAACAGCTAAACTACACGACCAGATAGTCTTGGCAATCTTATGCAATGTAAACTTGTTAAAGCGGGCGCTGATTTGCATTGTATTGAAACAGCTAGTGTGTATACTCGAAAAGCATGTTTATCTCGTAGCGGTTTTTTCCAGAATTTGTATATTTTTGTTGTTCGTTAAGAAATAAATAGTTTTTGTAGGGAAAACACAGAAAATTAGGTTAGACTAACGTTCAAAATTGATTTGTGGCATGCTATTTGATCTATTTAATTTTTAGCTAATTTTAATAATTTGTACTTTACATAGCGTGTGGAGGAAACGTTTTTTGCAAAAATCTAAATATATTTTTTTGAAATTTTCATCAATGTTTTCAAAGCAAACACTACTCCATAAACTTTAAAGGGCTCTCGGGACATTCAGGGCTTCGTCCTGATTTGAACAGTCTTGTTCTAATTTTGGAGTGATTTAATTCTGATATATTAAATTTCTCATTATTATGATTTGTCTTTCTGCCTCAACGACTAGATCGGTTGCACCTAGTAGCACATCCGGCAGGACGGGTTATGAAAAAGGGGCGTGCGCCTTTTCCCTTCTTTGACAGGAAATCTTTGGAAGAATTTTTTTGAATATATTTTGAGGCGAACGAACACCTATTTTTTAAAACGCTGTATTGTCCATTTTCTCCATTTTCTCAAAAAACTCGAAACTAGAAAGTTTTCCAAACATTTTTTGGATAATCCTTGATTGTCCCCTGAAATCCGTTAAATTTAATCTGAAGTTAGGCAAAACAACCCAGTGAACTCTTGAAAAATATTGAAGCCATTTACCCCGCATACAAAAAGCTAAAACTGGCCTCAGAACACGTGAGAGCTCTCTGCCGACAGTCCGTTGAGCGGTAACTTCAAGAAGATGAGTTATGATAATGTGGTTAGTGCCCCCACCCCCTCTACTAGTAGAGTATGGTCTTTTGAGTCTCACAATCCTCCCTAATCATTACCTAAGAGAGGGGCAACCTTTTCCATTGCATAAAGAACTTAAAATATCTGCATGTGTAGACTTTAATCCGGGGTACAACAGAATTTCAATTAAAAACAGTTTGACCATTTGTATACTAAATCTTTCTCTTGCGGAAAGAAAAGTAAAAAAAAATTACCCCTTTAGCATGATCTGTTCCCTTATAGCTCTGACCATAATTGTAGCTCACCCATACCGTTTACATAAATGTATCCATAAATTGAAACGGCATGGGAGACGGCAATTAGTTCGGATAACATGCACATAATACGAAAAAAAAACAATTAAAATAATACATTTGCTCAGCTAAAATTTTGAACTCCTAATTTCGAATGAGCTAGTATTTGCAGCTATTTTTTGCTTTTATTGCGTATTTCATTACTGAGAATCCAGTTTTTTTTATACTCAAAAAATTATAAAAACCTAAGTTTTTCTACATTGATTACATTTGTGGTCAACCATTCTTGAGACTTATTTAGTAACTTGTTGCATTAGAATTATCAAAAAAACTGTACTAGAAAATACAGAAGAATACTACCCGTTTTCAGCCCGCGAAATTTGCTCTTGCGTTTTAGTTTGTTGCGGAAATGAAAACCTTTTTTAAAGCCTTAAAAAGACTGCTCGTCGTTTCAAGGCAAACCCCTGAAAAATCTGACTACCTTTTAATTGTTCTCAAATAGTTTTTAGTAAAATAAATATTGGCGAAACTATAAGTTTTTTAGGCTGATCATATTCAATTTCAAATGTTAAAACTTTGAGTTGTGTATGCAATTATTAAGACCAATTAGCATATTGTCTCATTGTTCCGACTTTCGATACGGAATATTTGTGCTCGGGTTTGGTTTTTTTTGGAAAAAAAATTTTAATTTTGTTTTATTACATTTAATTTTTTAATGTTATTACTGCTCCATAAGATTTAAAAGGCAGTCGGAACATTCAGGGCTTCGCCCTGATACGAGCAGTCTTGTTTCAATTTGGAACGCTTTTGTAGAGCGGGATGATGCTCTGCGTGTAAAAAAGAAAACGATTTAGTTACTAGCTTGGCCCATGCAGATGACGGGATTGCCTGCCCGAGGCAGAACAGAATTTTGCGAAATTGGTCTTAATAAAAAACCACCCGAGCTCATATATTCCTCAATTTTCTCCAAAAAAATGTTCTTTGTTTTTTTTTAATGAAACGCTAATCTCACAAACAAAACGGAGTAACTAGTACAACATTTTGCATATGATCAACATGTTGCGAAGCAAATTAGTTTGTATTGGTTCATTTTGGAATCATTTGTGAGCCATGACACTTATTTTTTTTTATTATTATAATGTTTTGATGTCTGTCTGTCTGTGGAATCTTTGTTTATATTCTTTTCTTAAAGGGCTGAAAAAATGATTCTCTGCATAGTGACTGTTACCCATTGTGCGCAGGCCTTATTATAGAAACTTATGGCTGTTTTTAACAGAGAAACAAAACTAAAAACCTGAAAATGGAAAAAATTTTGACTTCTTTGTTTCCTATGCAGTTCCTTTTAGTTAGACAATTAATTTCTAGGTACACTATGAAAAAGTGGTCCCCTGAAAATATTACCAGTTCCCTAGCGAATAAGACACATAGAGCTCTCGAACCGTTTAAAGTTAAAAGTTTGCCAATCAGAAAAATGGTGCATTACGTTTCGAAATGAATTGTATGTTTCGTTGTTTTGTAAAACCTCATCCCTCACCATTTTAAGTTGAAAATTTCAAAAAAAGTATGTCAAAATTGAGTTTTGATGACACATAAATGAACAAGATTTAAAAACCAAAATCGTGTTTATTTATTTTTCATCAAAACTCAATTTTGGCAAACTTTTTTGGTAGTTTTTAGAATAAATTAAAGCGATCATTTTCTTAATTTAAGCAGAATAGAAGAGTTACAGTTTTCAATCTGAAAAATTCCTGACTCAAAAACTTCGCTATATTGCTTGAAATAAATAATATATACACAAATTAGGTTTCAAATTATTACCTGCGAAAGTGGTACCAGTAAATCATAGTGGTACCAGTTGTTAAAACGTGTATCCTATCTAGATTGAAATCAATAAAGTTGGTCTCTGGAAAAAAAATCTCTCCGATTACAAATAATCTACCTTTTTCTCCAAAAACTTGAACATAAAAGCGTCTTTAGATGCAAAATAGGTCAAACAAGACCGCTCAAGGGGAGCGGTGGTGAAATGGTTACGTCTCCGCCTCTCAATCGAAAGTGCTCCGTGCTCGTTGCTTGTGGGTGAAGCAATTTTACCCAGTCCAGAAAAATAACCAAAAAAGTTGCATGTAGTTCTTAAACAGGGGCACAACAGCGGTTCGCCGTGATGAGCTGTACAGCTCTTGTGTTGGTCCTTTCCCCCGTAGATAATTGGTCTTAATCTGAATTTTAATCAGTCTGCACTTCAATTTGTAGTAAAGTTTCTTCTGAGTTTTTTTTTCAAAACAATGTAAGTTTGAAGTTGTACATTTTGAGACAGCTATGTTCGTTGAACTTTGGATGTTTTATTTTTTCTTGTTAAAATAAATCATATTTACAGGTTGGACAATATATATAAATGGGTTTACAGGGCACATATATCAACTAAAAATTCTGTCAAGTAATTAGTAAAAAAGTACATCTTAAAAAAATGATCACAGTTAAAATATCTTTTCGATTCCAACCTAAATCAATATCATTATGCTTTTCGCAAGTTTTTAGTTCTATTTTCAAAATGGCCTCAAAAAGTATCTTGATTTAAAACAAAAATCGGAGAACTAGATAAGAGTAAATCGAATTATACAAATTTTAAAGCTTCTTCCAATTGACTTTTTGTTACCTTTTTAACTGTAAGTTTTTCAAGGTACATTAAGTTTTGATTAAATAGTTTTGATCTAAAAGGGTGATGGAAATACACACATATGAGAAGTGATACTATCTATATTTTAATGAAATTGCAGAGGAAAGAGCCTCTGAACTCATAGCTCCTGTTTACTCAGATACGGTTGACGAAAATCTCAAGACGTTAAATTAATCGTTATTCTATAGTTTTCACGAGAAATTTATAATCTTGTAATTTTTTTCATTATGACCGGTATTGTTTCAAAAATTCAGACTGCGTAAAATTTTTTTCAAGGACAGATAAATTAAATAAAAATTGATTGAATATTGAGCAATCCAACTCCTTCAAAAACCAAAAGTCCGCCCATTTTACATTTTGAGCTGTCAATGCTATAATTCCGCAAGGGCGTCGTTATTCACTAATTTTGAAGCGGAGCGCGTGCTAAAAAAAACTAGTTTTTTTTCGGTCAAAATCTTCCATTTTGGCTTGAAGAAAAATCCATTCCTATAAGGTAGCTATCGAACGATTAAACACATGCGAATTAAAACTTTTGGTCCAGAAAAATGTCATTAAAAATTTTGGTATTTATTGAAAATTGCTTTCCGCACTCAGCCAAAGTCAGCCGTTGCGCTAATTGTAATAGAAATCTGAAAAGGAGTTGTCTAAGTTTTGTTCATCTTGTCATTGAAGAAAGAAATTCTTTCTTGCGGTTTAATTAGGATAAAAAGTATCTAAAATACGTCAAAACTTTTGACTGAAAGGTTATTTTTCAGTAAATGATTAAAAGCATTGATGTCGAAAATAAACTCACCGAATTTTGCCATTTTGCTTTTTATTTGTGGAGGAAGAGTAAAAGTGATTTAAAATTGAAAAAAATTCAAAATGTATGGGAGCAAAAGGAATTGATTGTACCACTTGTGAGGTTGCAATTGAAAGGTATTTTTATTTCTAAATTTTAGCCAACTGCTCTGTTTTCTTATTCCGAGCTAAACTCTGCAACCTTTTCAATTGTTATATTTGTAAAATGGAAAACAAGCCGTATAAAAAAATTCTTTCGTCCAATAATTACCTTCATGAAATGAGTCTTTATTTTAAAGGCGCTCTTTATCTGATTGGCTGCTCAGTTTTATTTACGGCTTTACGGAATTTTGAAAAAATTGAGGTTATTGCAATTAGTAAAAACTAAATTTTACTCTAGTTCATAATATTTAGATTCTTTTTCATCAACTTCATGCGAAAGAGCCGTATGCAAATTATATGTTGATTTAATCCACAAAAACAGAATTGATTACAAAAGCCGAGTGCTTCATTGGAAAATGGAACAAGTTTAGTCGAATGTGACAATGGACTTGACAGACTATTTTACAGTGGTTTCAGACTATTTCAAAAGACTTCAGAAAAGATTCAAAACAAATTTGCTCAGGCTCAAAAACTGATTAAAAAAATTTGCTCAAAAAATACCAGTGAAATTTGTTTATAAAGTTAAGGGGTTTGAAAATTGCATTCTGGCCCATTTGGGATATTTAACGTGTAACTTATTGCGTTCTTATAACATTCGTAAGCGGGGCATTAAATTGTTTAATACGAAATTGAGGCGTTCCAAGTCAATTGTTGTGATATTAAAATACAAGCTGCTAAAACCAATAAAAACAAGGATAGCGGGCTACTGAGAAAGTAGCACAGGTTGTTCCGACCATAGTTTGTAGAAAACTACGGTTTAAAAAGTTTTTTTTTTCAAATTATTGAAGTTTTTTTTCTGCTTGGTGTGACAAAGACAAAAAAGATCTGACGTAACAACATAAGTAAGGCATATTAGACAATCACAGTGATATAAGCTAATTGAAAAAAATGTTGTCGAAAAATAACTAAAAAACTAAACAAAGAACTGTAAAAAAAAATTTCAAAATTTTTCCAGAAACTTTTTGATTTTTTTTGAAATTTTGGTTCCCAAAACGATGCTAAAAAACTCCAAAAACAGTTTTAATTGCTTAAAATTAAATTTGAGGACTAAAATTAGGCCTAATTCTTCTGCTGTAGGCCTGCTCGTATGCTTTAATTGATCGAATTAAGACGAAAACTCAAAAATTTGAAACCGGTTTTTCTCGACAATGGAAAAAAAAATTTTGAAAAATTTCAAATATGGTTCGAAACACGACTGAAAAGGCTTTATATTGATATATTAATCAAGCCAGTCTAATAATCATTAGTCGTATTTGATTTTGCGTGGAAAACGAAAAGAAAAAAGTGCGTGTCATCTGCACACAATACTACATTGCACGAAGTAGGTAATTGTTTGCTTCAGTCGTTGATATACAGATTGAAAAACAGCGTTGCCAAAACGATGCCCTGAGCGACACCTTGATGCAATGAAATCCAGTCTGATTCTATTTTGTTGACAATTGTTTTCCGTTGCCGGTTGCTGATGAAAACATTTATCAATTCAAGTTTTAAATTTTGTTGTAGAAACCTATGATCAATAGAATCGAATGATTTGGAAAAATATAATAAAAAGCCAGCAGCATATTTGGTGCTATCAATTGACTTTCTGAAAATTTGGTGCTGAATAAAAATGCATCAAATATTGAATGGGAGATTCAAAAACGGAATTGAGTGTTGCTTAACAGGTTTTGCGATAAAAGATATTCATTTATTTGTTTTTCCAGAAATTATCGAAAATTTTGATCCCGCAAATGTTATTAAAATTGGCCTGTAGTTTTCTGGTAGTTCTGGATCGAGTTTGTTTATTGCTGTGACAATGGCTTTTTTAAGCTAATCGGGAAAAATATAGTTTTTCAGATACTCATTGAAAAGGAAAGTAAGATGCGTGTTTATTTCATTGCAACCGTCTTTTAGTGCACATGCTGAAATTCCAGAAGAGGGCCTCAGTGGCTTTTTAGAATTGAGTTTTAAAAGTCAGATTTTTTAAATTTACATATTGTTTGGGGAGGGGTTAAAATGAAAACATAAAAATGGTTAGAATAACTTTTTTGTGTTTTAGCAGTTTTTCATCCAAAATTTTTCAAACTGGCCGTCTCAGGCCGTCCAAACATTCACAATTTTGCTCTAATAATATACTATAAGTCACCTTTTGATTAAAATTGCAAAAAAGTTAAAAGATAATCTACGAAAGCTCCAGGCTAAGAGTTTATATGCAAAGCTGAGCTCGTCAGGGTGCAATATAAATTTTAATAGTAGGTTTCAATTGTTCCATGACTGCATCATTATAATTCAATATGATTTAGAAAAGAATGAATGCTCAGCCTCGTGGAAAAGAAACCAGTAGATTAAAAGAAGATAATTTTTTTGATGCGAACATTAAAATGTCTCGTGTAGTTAATTGCTTCGCTTGGGTCAATTTTTGTGTTCGAGGTGGTTTTTTTCTGAAAAAAGGTCAACTTTTTATCTATTCAACCTTCGAAGTACAATTTTAAATCATATAACATAAACTGATGTGTAGTGTTCAATTTTGATATATATATAAATATATATATATATATATATATATATATATATATATATATATATATATATATATTGCCAATAAAATGGTTTGAAAATTGCCACCTTGACCAATTAAGAATCAAAATATTTCAGCAGAGCCATATATTTCTTTCCAATAAAAAGCAGACTTCGGATCGTTCCCAATAGAATAGAGAAGTTTCGAAAAAAAATGAAAGAATACTTGATCTCGGGTTGTTTTATTCCTCCAGATAAATTTTGACTCGGTAAATAGCAATTTTTCTGTGAGCAGTTTTAATTCGTCTTGTAAATTGTTCCAAAAAAATTGAAGCTGAATTTTTGGTCTGTTTAAAAACTTGCTAAATGAAAATTAAATAGGTTTGTCCTTGATATAGCGTACGTGTATGATTTAGAAAAAAATCTCGTTTTTGTTTGAATTTTTTTTTTCAGTTTTTTGAAGATTTTGAGTAATGACCTTTGGCCCGTACTCATAGAGTAATTTCAGATAAGGTACACCGTCTGTTCTTCAAGCTATCTTATTTTCGGCCGGAGAGATTCGTGCAACTTCTTAGGCTAATACCAATCTTAACCTTACTCTTGTATCTCCTAGTCTCAATAGATCTAGTGTATACTGGTTTTCGCGAGTTAGTTCTTGAGGTTTATCTCGAAGGAGAACAACTGTATTCAAATATTTATTCAAATTGTTCTATGCTGAAACTACAAGTAATTTCAGCACTTACAAATAATCGTCAATGCTAGAGATGGAAAATGATTGGTTAGTTAGTGAAATTTTATAGTGATAGTTTTATCAATAATATAATCGGTTTATAAATACTAGTTCAGAACTGGTTCCAATTTCTCCATTTTTATCAGCAAAAAGACATTACAGACTGTGCACTGATGCAAGCAGTTGTGTTTGTCTGTGTTATACCCGATTTGTTCCAACATAATGTCATCTATCCGACAATTTTTACAAGGATCAAATCACTATTTAAAAGCTCTAAAGTAGTTTTAAATTTTAGTTGAACAAAAGAAGCTATATTTACAAAGACTGCTGATATTACGACTTGCACCGCAATTTGACTGTTCATCAAGTTGACACAAAAGATAGGCAACCAGACTTTGTGCTTTAGGTAGCGAGTAAATTCAAGAAAAACTTTCCAAAAATCTGAAAATCTGAAAAAATAAAAGTGAAACATTTCTATCAACTCTAAGCAGCAGTTGGAAGTTTTAGATCCGAGATAACCCATAATAGACAAAATTATCATGAGCATTTTGGTTTGTTGAAAAATTTTAAGTCTACGATTAATCTTCCGGCTTGTTTTTCTGGAGCGTCAAGCCACAAGCGTAAGCCGAGTCGCCTTAAGTTAGATTTACATCTTTCAGCATTTTTCTGAAAAGCGTATTAATTAATAAGCAAACATAGCTACATTTTGTTAGTTGAGTTATTTTGCTCTGACTTTCGAAGAAAGTGACGGAATATTTGTGCTCTGTTGTTTTTTTTCGAGAAAATTTTCGACTTTTTTAACTAGCATTTTTGGTCAGAATTTTGTAAAACCCTTCATGAGTTTCTGTTTATCAGAGCTCGATTCTTAAAAAATATATATATTTTTCAAATTATGTGGGTTTAAAGAATGCCAATTTAGTCATTTCAGAACAATTAAGGCACGATATATTTCGTGGCAATAAAGCGTAAGCGGAGATTCAATGCGTTTTAGAAATTGTTTCCAATTGAATTGAGCCACACTCATTGGTCTAATTAATATACTGATATATGCAAATTAAATCATTTGTACTATACATAGCGTGCGGGGGATGATTTTAAAAAAAAGTATATCAAAAAGCTGTGTAAAATATTTTCAGTTTGTTTTTTGAAAATTTTGTTTTGTTTTACATTAATCCATTATGTTTGTTACAGTCATTTTGTTTTACATTAATCCATTAAATTAGAACGCAGTCAGAATATTTAAGATTTGGCTAGTTTCTATCACAGAAATTAATCAAAAATAGTCAGTTTTTTGAAGAGTCGCCAAAGTTAAAGCAATTTTCTCAATAAACTTGTGAAGTTTTTGCTGTATGTGTGTTAGCTGAAAGCAATGATTGACGTAGACTCAAGTTTTAACTTGCTACATTATAAAAAACGTTTTTAATTTTTCAGTTTGGAAGGTCTGTTTTGTGTTTTCTATGATCCAAAAAATTAAGTTATGGAAATTGAAAGTGGTCATCATCGATATTTTTGTAGTTTTGGTCACAAAAAGATTTTTATTATTTTGGTGGTATATGTTAGTAGCTTGTTAGTTCCTTGTTAAACTTTGGATTTACACAAACTCAAAAAAGTAAGCTCAAAATTAATTTTTTATTAACACAACTGAAATTACCATTTGCATAAACTGAAGTATAAAGTAATAAAAATTATGCTTGTTTTGACTGCAACAACCTTCTAATCTTTAATGCTTTTTAATGTATATCTAGTGAAATTTTGATTTAAGAACTTGTGTAAATTGATTTTCTTGGAAAAGTATGCCCCATATGCTTTTTAAGGCACATGGTGATATTTTTGGCATGTAGGAACATATTAGTTAGATTGGTAGCATGCCTTATTTTGAAAAAA